GCACCCTCTCCAATAGGGACCCCTTGGGGGAAGTCCAACTGCCGGTTTAGGCCCGATCCCACAGCAGTCCCAGATTGCACCCTCTCGCAATCTGGGACCACTGGCTCCTAACTGCTCACCTGCCTGCCTGCCTCATTGCCCCTAACTGCCTCTGCCTGCCTGCCTAATTGCCCCTAACCCCTCTGCCTGCTTGCCTGCCTGATCACCCTTAACTGCCCTCCCCTGCCAGCCTGATCTCGCCCCCAGCTGCTCTCCCCTGCCGGCCTGATCTCGCCCCTAACTGCCTCTGCCTGAGTGATCTCACCCCCAACTTCCTTCCCCTGGTGGCCTGATCTTACCCCAACTGCCCTCCCCTGCTGGCCTTATCTCACCCCTAACTGCCCTCCCCTGCTGGCCTGGTTGCCTCCAACTGCCCTCCCCTGTCGGCCTGATCTCGCCCCCAACTGCCCTCCCCTGCCAGTCTGATCTCACCCCCAACAGCCCGCCCCTGCCAGCCTGATCTTGCCCCCAACTGTCCTCCTCTGCTGGCCAATTTGGTTCTGATTGGTCAGTTTCTATGCCAGTCAGCATCAAAAGCTCCGTCTCCTAGGCAGCCATTGGCTCCTCACACTTCACCCAGATTTGGTTCTGATTGTTCAGTTTCTGTGCCAGTCAGTGTCTCTGGGCCTATCAACGGGGCCTGATCAGAAAGGTGAGGCTGATTAGCAGCCCTGTGGAGGCCTGGAGAGAAATGGAGGGGCGGCTGCTGGCCAGACTGGCAGAGAAAGAGAGAGGAAAGTGCTGATCAAAAGCTGCCACAGAGGCAACAGATCAGTCCCTGCTTCTCTCTTCAGGCCTCTCTCTGACCCTGATTCGCAGCCCCCTCAGCAGTCAGTGCTGGGGCACCACACCTGCGCGGAAGCAGTCAGTGCTGGGTTGCCCTGGCAACTCAGCGCTGACCGCAGGACTGACTTCTGATTGGTTGAGCCTAGGTTGTGACCAGTTGTTATGACCCAGGGTTTTTATATATTAGGATAAGACTGTCCTCATATTACATGTTGTGTCTAAAATATTTCAAATGCTTATGTATTTTGAGAAAAAATTTATGTTGGAAGGTGTCTCATGTTTTCAAAAGTCAATTGATAGTAATCACTTATATTTAATGAAGGCTGATTAGCAGCCCTGTGGAGGCCTGGAGAGAAATGGAGGGGTGGCTGCTGGCCAGACTGGCAGAGAAAGAGAAAGGCAAGTGCTGATCAAAAGCTGCCACAGAGGCAATAAATCAGTTCCTGCTTCTCTCTTCAGGCCTCTCTCTGGCCCTGATTCACAGCCCCCTCAGCAATCAGTGCTGGGGCACCTCGCCTGCAGCAGAAGCAGTCAGTGCTGGGTTTCATTATGAACTAGGGTTTTTAGGACTGACTTGATTGGTTGAGCCTAGGTTGTGACCAGTTGTTATGACCCAGGGTTTTTATATATTAGGATAAGACTGTCCTCATATTACATGTTGTGTCTAAAATATTTCAAATGCTTATGTATTTTGAGAAAAAATTTATGTTGGAAGGTGTCTCATGTTTTCAAAAGTCAATTGATAGTAATCACTTATATTTAATGAATACCTACTATGTTCCAGGAAGTGAGTATGTTAATTCAGTATCTCCTTTATCCCTTGCAACAATTCTATGAAGTATATACTATTTATGCCTTCATTGTACAGAAGAAGAAACTGAAGTTCAGAGAAGTTAAATGACTTAGCCAAGTGCATACAGCTATAAAGGGTAGAGCCAGGATTCTAGCCTCAAGAACCTGACTCTAGACTAGAGCCTTCCCTTTTAACCTCTACAGCGTGTTGAGAAATGAAAATAAGGCATCAGGAAATTAGCAGGGTAGTGAAAACTTTGGCAACAATTTCAGTAGAAAGATGAGGGCAAAAAACATTTGATAATAGAATGAGAATGGAAATATAATTAATAAATGAATTGCTATTTTTTAAAAATTATGTTGAACTACATGAAATTGTGAATACTTAACCATTTTTTACACAAAAAAGTGAAATTTGCTTATGACTCAACCTATTATATGTGCTAATTTATGAATATTATTTTCAAGAAACTTTCTTAGAATTATAAAAAAGACAATAAAGAGCAGAAGTTTCCAAAACCCTCAAGGCTGTGTGTGTTTTCAACAAATCTGAAAACTGTTTCAAGCCTTCTTATTCTGACATGAGAAAAATGTGCCTACAACTATAATATCAAATATGAGATTTGTGAATTGTATTTCAGTAGTGGAGGAAAACATTTTAACCAATCAACCAATTTCTTAGTTTCAGGATGGTTATAAAAAAAAATACAACTTTTGGTTCAGAAGAAAAAGCCACCAGCAATTTTTACATGCTGAATTTTATTTCCCTAAATCGCAGAATGAGGTCTATTCTTTTATCTATATCACCCACAATTTTCTGAGAATTATTTCCTAATATATTATCCTAATATTTTAATGCCCTTTTTCATGGATTTTCCATGCAAATATTGGATTCATAATAGTCTTAATCTACAATTCACATGAGCTGAACATACAGATCATAGACCCTTAAGAGTTAATAGCTCACTTAACTCACAGAAATCATCCAGTTAACGTTGACAAAGCATAAAACAGAGCCTTGTAGAGGTGAAAAGAATGCCTTTCCTTAGGTCACCCACTATTCAGGAAGATTTAACACTAAAACCCTCATCGTCTGGTGCCTAGTCCTTAGTAATCTTTTTACTTTGTTAAAATGTGCCTATTTTTATCCTGTTACATAATGCAGATTAATCTGACTTTCCTTTTCTTCTTTTCAACTGGAGTGCTGAGTCAGCTAATCTTGATCATTATTGGGACAGGAAGCAAAGGACTAAAATGGCTCTGTAATCAAAGAAACCCCCGGCTATGAGAAGAGATTCTATTAGATACATGTCCCCTAGCTGCTGGGACCTCGAATCTGTTCTGTTTTTCCCACCCCCTTTCATTCCTGTGGCTCACTTTTGTTTCCCCGGCATAGTTTCAGACTATCCAGCAAGCCTTTTGAACGTCACCTTGGCCTTGTCCTTTAGTACTTAGTTGTTTGAGAGTTTTTGTCTCTGACCCATGGCATGGCCTGTCTTCTGATTTTCACTCATTTCTTGGTTTGTGCTTGTTTAATCGGTTTCTCACTGGCTGCTTCACCTCCTAGCCTTGAGCCTGGACTTTGCTATATTCTGTTTTCTTTATAATAGACTAAACTGAACTCTAAAATCCTGAGATACCTGGAAAATAATGTGAATTTCATCTAGAAAATCCTTAGGGATTTCCTGGCATCTATCCGGAACTCCAGATTCACTCCCCAATCTTGTGACTGGAGTCTGCAATGACTGTCCCACAAGTCACACCAGACGCTTCCTAGATACCAGTGAACCCCATTGCATCAAATGGTAAGACCTTCAAAGTTATTTATAAGTCTAAGGAGCAATTTTTAAAATTGCTTTATTTTTTAGAGCAGTTTTAGGTTCCCAGCAAAATTGAACAGGAAATATATAGTTTCGGGCAATTTTTTTTTACATTGACTAACTATAAAGTATATTTATTGTGATTTGTGTTATGAAATGAAAGATCTATCCTTAATTTATATTTTGTGAAAGTCCACTCAGGAACTAGCAAAAGTAGACAACTATGCCAATTACCAGTTTATTGTCTCTCAACTCCAAGTCCACCCTTCACTGTCTGCTCTGGGAAAAGAGCTGAACCCTGTAATATTTCTCTCTCGCAGCTCATACAACGTTATGTCAGAAAGGAGTGCTGGCAGGACGCCAAAGAAGAAGGCAGTTCTCCTTCCCGGATCCAGTGTTTATCCCTTCTTGCTCCCACCACGTGGTGGCCAGTGGCATGTGTGAGAGACACCCCATGGTGCTTGTGCCCATGAAGTTCCAATGGCACCTCATAATCAGGTGCCTATCGGATTTTAGAGGCTCTCCCATGGTCAGATTCCCACGGAGTCTCACCAGCATCCCAGAGGTTGGTTTCCGGCTTTGGCCTCCTGCACCAAGCAGGGGGTTTCCTGCCTGCCTGCTGACTGTGCACAAGGTCTTGTGGAGGCCATCCAAGAACTCCACCAATCACGCGCCACACCACACCTTCCACAACGAGGTGTGAATCCCAACCATGCCGAGGGACGGGAGACAAACCTCCAATTTCTTTCTTTCTTGGGAACCCTCCTTTATCCCTGGGATAAAGTTCTCTTTTTAAAGTTTTCTTTACCCCTTTATGTAACAGATTTTTCTGTTAGAATGAATAATTCTTTATTTAAAGCTTTTCCTATTCAAATTACTATGTTGTCTCTGTCTTTTCCACTGAATCTGATTGATACAGTAACATTGGGAAAATAGTTTTAATTTCTCAGTAGACTCATTCATAGAATGAGGAGATTGGGTTAGTTGATCTCAAATGTCCTTTCCAGTTCAAAAGCAAACAAACAAACAAACAAACATTATTCTAGGAAATTTGTTTTTTTTTCCAGTTCAAAAACAAACAAATATTATTCTAGGAAATTCAGGTTTGTTTCTTTTCCTAGGTATAGAAAAATGAAGTATACTACAGTGAATACCATACAGCACAATGTACTTGTGTATCGTCTTCCCCAGCCTCAGCTATAGTAAGTGGGTCTTCCTTCTCATCTGAATAATGCTTTCCTCTTTCTGGGTCAAAATATTAAGTGACAGCAGCAGCCAGTATCATTCATGTACACAGTGGGCAATCAGATACTATGGAATCTTCTGTGAGGGTTTTAACTAGGAAACTATCTAAGGAACAAAATAAAAAAAAACTAGAGGTTCATGTATGACTATGAGAGTTTAAAATAGGTCAGAAGTATCAGTTACCCATTTGTGAATATAAATACTGTAAATATATATTAAGTATAAAAAATGTTCCTACTGGTATTGTTTATCCTAACACAGGATAGAAGATTGCATCCACTACCTCCATCACCATACAATTTAATTTTTTTCTTTTACCTTTCTCTGTCTTTTACCGACTGTTCAGCCATTATTTTCTTCAATTCTTCTAGACGCCGAAGATCTCTCATTTCCATTTCTTGCCAATTCTGTTCTTTTTTAGCCCAGTATTCTCTGATCTGTTGTATAAATGTTACATAAAATTTAAATTAACAACAGAGATATAAAAACAAGGAGAAAACTTATAAAAACATTAGCCACTGGCTCATAGAGCGAAGATTGAATTTAAATGGCACTTCATCCTTTTCATTTTTTAGATCTGTTTACAATATATTGGCAACAGAAAAAAATAAATTAAAACACGAAGGGTCACATTCTGAGACACTGTACGGTTTAACAATTTCTGAAGTGGAAATGTGACTTGGGCTGAGACCTGAGGTTTTAATCTACGGTTAAAATAATTGACTTTCAGGGAACCACAATAAAGGCATGTTACTGTCTCTGAAGTATATGATCTACCTGTCACTCAAGAATATTTTTATCCCTTCTGGTAACACAGTCTTTAACAAATATAGCATCAAACCTATTTATACTGTAAAAGCATGAGTTTATTTATGCTAATGGACAGCAGGATGTTGAAAGCTTTATGCTTCTGGGGAAGTAGCAGGAGATAGGTGGGAGGAAGGAAGAAAAGAAAAAATTAGTGTGTTGTGAAATATAGCAGGTATGACTTATGCGGTAAAATAAAGGACAAATTTATCAAGCATTGTTCTTGTTAGGTCTGTTTCACTTTCCTTCTCTGGGGGCAGAATGATAAAACCAGAATTACACACATGCTATCATCAGGGGCTGAAACCATCTCTCAGGGCTCTCCCCCTGATGGGGCAGTTGAACTTGATGTTTATTTGACTCTGGCCTGCCAGGTTGTGTCTGGGTCAAGAGACTGGATCTTGCTGGTAAAAAACCGAGTACCTCACAGGTGAATGATAGTGAGTGACTCACAGAGGGTCTGCTGTAGAGGATGGGTTAGCCCCACCCCCAATGTGGCATTTTCTCTTCTTAAAAGTGCAGGTAAAAAGCTCAGAGGTTTCCGGATTTTCCCTAGCAACGCAGTTTCTGACCCTGGGGAGGACCAAAAGGAGCATCCGGAGCACCATGGCCACTGTGACTGCCCAGCAGAGCCTGCAACCTCAGCAGCCACATCCGTTCAACACGTAAGGAATAAGTGGACGAGCTCCCAGTAAAGCGATTCCACTACAAAAATGATTGAGATCTGAATTTGGGGAGATCAGGGATGAAGCCAGAAAGGGAGCAGCACCACAGATGGGAGTGAAAGAGACGACAGGCGAGGGAGCGGGAGAAGACTGACTGACAGGTGCACGTCAGAGCCCTAACTGACAAAGGCCAGGGCGTTCTCTCAGTGCCAGGCAGGGCTCTGTTCACAGTATTATACTGTCTCCCTCTGGGATTTATAAGTGATCTCTATTTTATTCTTTATACTTTTCTGTGTTACTTTATTGTTTGCAATGAGCATGTATTTCTTTCATAATCAGAGAAAATAAAGCTACTTCAAAATTAAAATTTGAAATAGAACAGATATTGGATTGAAGAGCATTTTTCTCTGGGTTCCAGTGTTTGCTTACTCCCTGCACTGGCCTTGGAGACAAGTCAGTGGTCCTTTGTCGACAATGCCTTGACTACAAGTGGACCTACCCTGGGTTTCTAATATCTTGAGATTGCTGACACCATTTTGTGCAATGTCCTGTGCAGGCCCTAGAAGTATGTCACACCTGAGACTTTCTGACATCTCAGGACGAATTTTCATTCTTTACTCTCTGGTATCCTCATCTATTGCTGTACCATGAATCAGTCAATCTCTCTCTCTCTCTCTCTCTCTCTCTCTCTCTCTCTCTCTCTCTCTCTCTCTTTTGATTTACTCCTTCCCAGTTCTTTCTACCAGGCCCTCTGAAACCTCTGTGTCATCATACACCAAATCCTCTACTTCTTTAACCTTCCAAACACTACTCCATGGTTTTGACCGAAATTCTCTTAAGTGAAGGAAGGATGCTCATCTTCTGATGCCCCATGTGCCAAGAGGCTGGGAAATGGTTTGGTCACTTTCCTCCTTCACCGCTCCCTCCTATCCAGCACAACACCTTCCCCCTTTGATGTCCAAAGCAACTCCTTCCAGCTCCTAGGCAACTTCAGCATCTGTCTGAATGCCCTTCCCACCTGCAAATCTCACGGTCCCATGACTTCCTCCATTCCAATGAGCCTCCTCCCCCTCCCCCTCCTCCCCTCCTCCTCCTCCTCCTCCTCCTCCTCCAGGATTCTATTACCATCAAGAACAGTTCCAGTTCTGAAATCTTTCATTATAGCCTTCGATCCTCTAGTATAGCCCTGATCACAAGGCTTTTCTAATTAGTATACTTGTTTCTCTCCCCCACGAGATGGCAGAAACTGTGATTTATTTACCTTGGCACTTTCAACGGCAACTAAAGAATAGAGAGGTAGTATATACCTAATAAACATTTGATTGATGAATGAATTACACAATCGTAGAAACTGGTGCTATAGTCATGGTCAACTGACAATCTTCATTGACAATCAGCATTCCTTTTATGAATTCCTGATTAATGCCTGTCAGTTTCTCATGGTGGTATTCCCAAACCTGTTCACTATGTTAAGCTCTATACCAGCCTCTACTTCTTCACTTTATCAGAAGTAAGGGAGATAAAGTTCATTTATCTCCCTTTGAGGGGCAAGATATCTAAAAGATATCTTCCTTGATGTCTTGCCCCTCAAAGGAAGAGATGTCTTTCCTTCTGTTCAAGATTTACCCCTCACCTGGGCTCCAGATCCTTTTCCCCAATCCCACTTTTCCATAACCTTACTCTGTCATCTACCTCTCTCCCCCTGTACCTGCAGCCTTTTAGTCTTTGCTGTTTCTTTTTCCTCACATGGAAATATACATAAATCTCACCCATTAACAAAAATCTAAACTAACTTTCTTTAGACTCCCAAGACTGTAACCACACACTCTTCATTGTTCCCTTTTCAGTCAAGCATCTTATAATATTTACTAGAGGCCTGATGCATGACATTCGTGCACAGGCAGGGTCCCTAGGTCTGGCTGGTGATCAGGGCCGATCAGGTTCCCTGCCTTCCCGCCTCCCCACCTCCTCCTTCCCTCGCTCCCTCAGCACCCCGCTGCAGCCACTGGTCACCCGCCATGTTCTGCACCGCCCCCTGGTGGTCAGCACACGTCATAGCAAGTGATCGAACTCCCAGTCTCCTGGTTGAACTCCTGAGGGGACACATTGCATATTAGCCTTTTATATAGAGAGATTATTTGACATCTCCTATTTTACTCCTCACCCATGGCATTCCTACATTCCAAATTCACTATTCTCTGAATTCACTACTCTCACCAGTGACTTCCAAAGGATCAAACCAAATGATCCTTTTCAATCCTTATTTTACATAATGTATTCATGTATTTGATTCTTTCAACCCTTTTCTGTAGTCTTAACACATTACTGATTTTGGCATTCATTTGTTCAACAAATGTTTATATGGCACATGCTGTGGGCCAGATACTGTGCCATGTACGTGGGATATGGTGATTAAAGAGAAATAAGGCTTCTGTCTCATTGAGCTGGGACTTTCTAGAAATAGAGATAAATGAATGAACAGAATATTACACTAAGAAGAAAATAAGTATGGTGATGATTTAGAAAAATGTGGGTAGAACTATTAAAGGGCATAATTTTTAAATGACGTTTGGATCAAAACTTGAATGATGAGTGAGACAACCATAGGATGAGATGAAGGGAGATCTGCCCACTGCAGGAAGTGGGAATTTTAGGTGCAATTGCCCTAAGTGGGAAGGACCTTGCACATGTCCAGAAATGGGCAGAAGCCAGTGCAAGCTGGAGCAGGTGGTGTGAGTTAAGACTGGAGGTGAGATTGGCAAGCTAGATAGGGACTAGATATTAGGCAAGGATTTAGTTCTAGAAAAAAGGAAAAGCTACTGAAGTGTATAAAGCAAGGAGTGACCTGACCTGACTGATACTTGTAAAATATAGCTCTGGCTATTGAATGATGAATGGATGTAGAGGAGTGGAGGAGAAACAGGAGACCAAATAGAATAAGGCAAAAATGATCACTCGCACTCAGGAAATGAAGTGAGATCACTTCTTGGCCTCTTGGCTATGATCAAGTATAGGTAATGAAGTGTTCAAATCTGAGATGTGCTTTTGAGTGGAGTCAAATGCTCATTGAGGGATTAGATATGAAGGCTGAAGGAAAAGGAATCAAGAATGATGCCTAGCCCAAGCCGGTTTGTCTCAGTGGATAGAGCATTGGCCTGTGGATCAAAGGGTCCCAGGTTGGATTCCAGTCATGGGCCTGTACTTTGATTGCAGGCTCCTCCCCAGCCTAGGCCCTGGTCGAGGATTGTGCAGGAGGCAACCAATTGATGTGTTTCTCTCACATCAATGTTTCTCTCTGTCTTTCCCTCTCTCTTCTACTCTCCCCAAAAATCAATGGAAAAATATCTTCAGGTGAGGATTAACAACAACAACAACAACAAAGAATGATGCCTAGGTTTTTGCTAAGCAACTGGTTGGATGATGGTACCAATACTGAGATGGAAGAGAGGAAGAACAACAGGTTTGAAAGAAAGACAACCAGGAGTTCAATATTGAACATTAAACAGTTGATATAACTGTAAGACCTTTAAGTGGAGATTCAATACAAACATCTGAAGGTATAGATAGGTGGCTCAAGGGAGGATTCAGAGTTGGAGATCTAAATAAAGGAGACATCCACTTAAAATGGTATCTGATGCTACAGGACTGAATAGTCTCTAGGGTGAGAATGGAAATAGAAGAGAGATGGCGGCCATGCACTTGCATGCTTATCTGCCTTTTGCATATTTTTCTCAGCTAGAATAATTTTATTTCCCTCCTTCACTTGCTAATTTTACTCTACCTGTAAGACCAGAACAAAGGCCACCTCCTTGCATCTTCCTCTGAACACTGCAGTAAAAATGTTAGCAGTATCCTGGGCACACCAATGACCTTTGATTAAGGTTTATTACTTTCCATTCTTTGTCCTATCTTGTATTCCTTAGTTATTTTTCATGAGGCTCTGCCACTGGATTGTTACTGATATA